CTAAGTGATAAAGGTGTAGAATCAGGTAACAACATACATTTTTGATCGTTTTCTCTACCCATGTCCAGAACACCAGCCTCATCAACCAGAAGAAGAAGATGGAGTCAGACCTGTCCCAGCTCCAGACTGAAGTGGAGGAGGCGGTACAGGAGTGCAGGAACGCCGAGGAGAAGGCCAAGAAGGCCATCACGGACGTGAGTCTCCCACCCCGCCCGCCCCTTCAGGCCTCGTCCCCCCGCCCGGGCTGGGCGGCAGCGTGGAGGCCTTGAGCCGACCCGGGGCCCTTCTCCCACGCACAGGCCGCCATGATGGCAGAGGAGCTGAAGAAGGAGCAGGACACCAGCGCCCACCTGGAGCGCATGAAGAAGAACATGGAGCAGACCATTAAGGACCTGCAGCACCGGCTGGACGAGGCCGAGCAGATCGCCCTCAAGGGCGGCAAGAAGCAGCTGCAGAAGCTGGAGGCCCGGGTGCGGGAGCTGGAGAACGAGCTGGAGGCGGAGCAGAAGCGCAACGCGGAGTCGGTCAAGGGCATGCGGAAGAGCGAGCGGCGCATCAAGGAGCTCACCTACCAGGTGCGGTACCAGGTTCACAGGCGGCGCCACTGGCTCCACCTCCTGGCCCACACGGGGCCCTGCTGAGCCACCTTCCATGAATGCCACCCAGCCCTCCTGCCACCTGCTTCTGGAGATGCTATCTGTAGGTTAATTTTCTATCACATTCTCTGGAGTCAGTTTGGCTTGAGTCATGGATTTTTCTAGCAAAAGGAGAATCTATTTCTACTTCCTACAAGCTCTTTTGACCTGCATTTCCCCAGGTTTTTTAATAACTCCAAGTGAAGGCTTCAGAACAGTCCAAAGAATCTTTCTACCTTCTACGGGCCTGACAGGGAGGGACACTGTATGGCACTTTAGAGATAAGAGTCGGGTAATTGGAAAAGACTGGGATATCTTCTGTGGAACTTCTGGGACAGCAAAGAGAAGGCCTTAGAGAAAGAAGATTCCAGAATGTTCTAAGATCTCCATCTGAATAGCTCAGAGCCTTTACCCTTGGCCTGTTATTTTCACAGTATGCCTAGGAAGTAAAGACTAAGGAGATGAGGGTGTTAGTCCATCTGACAGATACCAGAGGCAAAGGAAAGAGATTACAGATGTAGAACCACTGATTTATTATGGACAAACTGGAGATGGCATCCAGACACGTACAATGATATGGAGATAGGAACAGTCAAGTGACATGGGAGCCAGTGGTCCTGGTGCCCAAATTCTGGCCTAATAAAATATAGAATATTGGCCCCTAATAGATTAGAATATTCTGGACTACGATAGTACCCCCTTCCTTCTGCATTCCTCATTATTCCGCCTCTAGTCACTCCAGAACCACTGGCCAAGGGCACCTACTCTGCTCCAGATTGGAGCTTTATCCACCAAATTGGAGCTAGAAGAAGCCTGGTGCCCCCACATTATCACATTAGGGAATTCCACTTGGTTCTGAGCCCTTCCCCTCACTTCCAGCTTCAGGACCAGCCCTCATTGCTTTGCTGACTGAGAACCTTGCCATTCCCCTTTGACCTGCAAGTAGAGTCAGAGATGGGATATTCCCCACCACCTCTTTGACCTGGGCCATTGGAGGGAGGGGCAGCTCAGGCATGGAGAGAAGAGTGGAATGATGGGGGAGGGAAAGGTGATTACACTTGCTCCTCCCCCAAAACTGGCTTCTTCCACCCACCATCCCCAGACGGAGGAGGACAAGAAGAACCTGCTGCGGCTGCAGGACCTGGTGGACAAGCTGCAGCTGAAGGTCAAGGCTTACAAGCGCCAGGCTGAGGAAGCAGTGAGTTCATGGTTTTCTCTCTTTCATCAACACATCCTCTGTGTGTGAGAACCAATGAACGTCCACCTCAGCAGGGCCTGACACTTTAACTCTCAAACTCTTATTAACATGCCCAGTGCACAAATCTGTGTCAGGCACTCTCAGTTAACAAAAGCAATGCTGTATTTGACCCAGCACCTGCCCACAAGCTGTTTATAATCCATATACCAGAAGCCCGGAAGAAGGCAATATAGATGCTAGTACAGGACACAGGGGGAGACAGCACTGAAGGCAGGAAGGTGGCAGTGTAATTGTCCTGGAAGGGGACCTGGCTAGTCATGTGGCCATGAGGAAGACACCTGGGTGGGTAGAAAAGTGTGGATGTGAGGTGTTGATGAGCATGCCTGTGCAGGAAATCCCGGGCTCGGGGATCATCTTTCTGAGTTGTGGTTGGACAGGTGCATAATGAAACTGGATTCTGAGAGGGCCAGACTAGGAAGCATGAATTCATCTGGGGCAGTGAGTGGCCATGAAGGATTCTGAGTGCTAGGCAAGTTTGAGTGCCAAGCCAGGTGCAGGATACCCTTGGGAAGGCTGTTGCAGGAACACAAGTGAGGGTTGAGTTGCTCAGGGACAGAGAGCTGGTCCCTAGACTGAGGCTGGGAGTCCCCAACCCCAGCACCTGCCCATGAGCTGCTAATAATCCATGTACCAGAAGCCCAATCCTCCCATCTGCCTTATCCCCCTGCAGGAGGAGCAGGCCAACACCAACCTGTCCAAGTTCCGCAAGGTGCAGCACGAACTGGATGAGGCGGAGGAGCGGGCGGACATCGCCGAGTCCCAGGTCAACAAGCTGCGGGCCAAGAGCCGCGACATCGGCACCAAGGTAGTTTCCTCCCTGGGCTTCCCTGGTCACCCCCACATCAGCATGTCCCCTGACATAGGTGCCCCTCAGAGTGGGCACTCCTTACCCTAAGTTTGGGCAGCCTTGAGGGTCACACAGCACCCCTGAGAATTCCTGAGAATCCATCCTCCTGCTCAGAGTAGCCCCCATAGACTGGAACCTCTGCAGAAAGCCCAGTCACACCCCCTAAGCCACAAGCACTCCTAACGTGGGACCCCAAGATCCCTGAGGCCCTACACTCTCCTTTTTTTTTTTTTTTTTGTCTTTTTCGTGACCGGTAAGGGGATCGCAACCCTTGGCGTGGTGTCGCCCGCACCGCGCTCAGCCAGTGAGCGCACCGGCCATTCCTATATATGATCCGAACCCGTGGCGGGAGCGTGGCTGCGCTCCCAGCACCGCACTCTCCTGAGTGCACCATGGGGCCGGCCCCCTACACTCTCCTTCTAAGGGTGTCTCCCTTAGGCCTCTGAAAGCCCTAGGGATTCCTCCCCACACCCTTCCTCCATCCCGTCAGCTACCCCTCACACCTCTTATTCCTTTTTCAGCAAAAAATGCACGATGAGGAGTGATGCTGCCTCCAGAACCTCACTCTTGCTACCCTATAATAAATATGAGTGCCAGACTCTGCCTGAGCTCCTCTGTTCTTCCCACTGGCCGTCCATCCTGGAGCAGGAGGGTTGTTGGCCCAGGGAGAAAAGGCCCCAGACCCAGTGTCAGAGCTGCAGGAGCCAACGCATCCCATATATATAGAGGAGGAAACCGAGGCCCAGAGAAGTAAGGTGTCCTGCCTGAGGTGGCGCAGTTGTGAGTCCCAGTTCTGCTCAGTCAACCACACAAGGGAGGAGAGGGAGAAATCTCAAAAGTAGAGAAAACAGAAGCACCGGAATGGTGAGTTGGCACCCAGCACCCCTTCCACCCGACTCCCTGCACTGAGCCTCTTCTATCCCTCCTTTGAGGCCTTGCCCACCCCTCACCCCCACCCCCCAGGTCGGTCACCTGGTTTTGAGAATAGACTGTGCATAAAGCCCTGAGAACAGTGAGCAGAGACCAGAGAAACACAAAGTCCAGTTGGTTCTAGCCCAGGAGAGGCTGCCAGCCCTGATGAAGGGCCAGGACAGGAGGAAAGGAGAATAGGACACAGGAGGTGGGAGAAGTCAGACCAAGAGAGGAGCAGTTACCACCAAGGAAGCAGAGCACCACTGCAGAGTGCAAGGTCCAGGGTTCAGGCAGGGCTCAGGGGCTGGGGCTGCTACTGGAAGGAGCGCCCAGGTAAGGATTTCAGGGCAGGAACAAACAGGCACTGGAGAGGGTAGCAAGTCAGCTTGGATGGAGCCACTGAGCTAGGCCATGCTGGGCTCCTCGGGCTGGGCAGGGATGTCCTGGCCACACTGGACTGTCCTAGGTCCAGCAGGGCTGATTCCCAGATTGTGGCAGTGCCTGCTCCAGATCCCTCAGAGCTGAGCTCTCCCAGAGCAACTCATCATCGTGGGGAGCCTTCACTAGCTGGTCTCTGTCCCAGTCCATGAGTGCTCAAAGACAGGTTTGCCTGTCACCCCTGAACCCTGGTGCCAGCAAAGGATCTGCACACAGGAGACCCTCAGAAAGTGTGTGCTGAGGAGCAGGCAAGTTGGGAAGGTGGACCAACTCATGGAGGGGGCTGTGGATGAAGCGGGGCCATTTTTTATGAGCTGCAAGGGGGCTCAGTATGGCACCCAGGACACCTATTTGAGTGTCAGGAAAGCTGAGTTCTAGCCCTAGCTCTGTTACAAATAAGGAGGTCACTTTCCCTAACTGGGCCTCAGTTTTCTCTTATGTGGAATGAGGCATTGGACCAGCTGACATCTAAGGGCTTTTCCGGCGACAGCACTTTGGGAATCTCTTCCTCCTATGATGCCTCTGGTGCCCTCTCTCCTGTAGCCTGTGGGCCAAGTCCTCCCACACCACAAGGGGGAGCTCTACACAAGCCCCAGGCAGGTGCCTCACCTCAAGCCCACTAACAATGGTGGTGTGGGCACTTACATCAGCAAGACTTGTGCCTTCCCAACACAGAACGCTGGGTGCCCAGCCACCAGACACACCACAAAGTGGCCTTGCACACAGAGAGTTGTGGCATAGAAGTTTTGTGTTGGAGGATGTCTTCAGCTTCTTCAGGCTAGCCCCCACCTCCTCACTGCTCAGGCTTGGTCCCAGAGAAGTACCATGACCTGCTCCAGGCAACATTTCCATGAATACTCCTTGGCATTCCTGATCTGCCTAACTTCTGGGGAAGAAAAAGACTCACCAGTAGGATTTGAATCTTTTAATTTGGGATTAACTTAGGGGCCCAGCCTCTTCCCCCTGCCCCACTCCATCAGTCTCCTCATCTGGCCAAAGCTGCATCAGGAGCCAGATCCCAGATCCCAGGCTCCACAGAGAAGTCCCTAGTGACTTCTCAGGCCAGGCATCTCTGTAAGCCTGGGGTGGAGGCTAGTGAATCCAGAGATGTGTCTGGGCTCCACTGTCCCCTTTGTCTGGCTGGGCCTGGGAGCCAGGTAGCCCCAGAGTCACTGCTAGTCCCCTGTGAAGATGAAGCCAGGCAGGGAAGCCAGATCAGGATGGGGTAGCTGGGGTGGATTTGGGGACATTTCTCCTCAAAACACAGGCACTCACCCTGGGTAGCCCTGGGCACCATCTCAGTCCGGTAGATCTTGAAGGCATCATAGGCAAAGACAGAAACCAGGATGATGCCAAAAACCTGTGGAGTAGGAGCATAGGTGGCACAGCAAAGGCTACTGGGCCACTGGATTAAGGCAGAGGGAGGCGGGTGTTATGGGGGGAAGTGCAAGCCAGGACCTGGCCCTGGCTATGGCTTTTGACACAGAAAGTGTACAAGCACCAGCCAGAGGTCCAAAGGGGCTGGACAGTCCTGCAGGGCTGGACTCACAAAAGCAGCGATGGCAGCTCCATCCCGGGAGGTCACAGCGGCAAAGGACACCACTAGGAAGATGATGATGGCGCTGATGCAGCGGAGGAAGTCCTGGGGGGCCGGGGATGCAGGGTCAAAGGGAAATCAGAAGCAGAGAGGCATCACCCTGAGATTTTCCAGGCTAGTCAGTGGCCTGACCCTCAGGCATGCTGAATCCCTGCAATGGTGATGCTCTTGGACACAGTATAAAGCACTTTCAAGAGAGAGGGTTCACACTGCTTCCCAGGGAATGGAAGCAGATGAATCCAGAGCAGCTAGGAGGAGAAGCCAGTGGCTGGGGCTGACCCAGGCATGGTGGCTGGAGCCCAGGGGCAGTGGCTGAAGCACACCAGCCAGGAAGGCCAGGGCAGCACTGGGGCTGGGGCTGGACCTTTGGTGAGTAGGGGAGCCCATCTAAGGGATACATATCCTCTTCATTGTCAGTGACCCTGTAGCTGTGAAATCAGCGTGGGCCAAGGCACTGTTCTGAGTGCTTTGAACTGGAGTGTGGAAAAGGAGGGAAGCTGGGAGAGAAAAGGAAAACTCAGTGTGCAGAGGAAAAGGAAGGGATCAGAACAGGATGGGGAGGCAGGTTTCCTCACCAAACAGGGCCAGTTAAGCCGATCGAAGCGCTGGTAATACTGGGTGGCATAGAGGAAGAGGAAGGCGAGCGTGATGAAGAACTCCAACAGCGCCGCAGCCATATAGGCAGAGATGGAGGCCGTGAAGCAGATGAAGATGATGAAGGTCAGGGCCTGTAGGACCAAGCATATGGAGCTTGCCAGGGAGGGGACACAGGCACAGGCCAGGCCTTTGCCTTTCCCTTCTCAGGAGCTCCCCCAGGCTGGCACCCACCCCCAATCCCTGGAGAGAAGGAAGAGCTCTGACATGTCTCCCCCATCCCTGGTGTCAGGAGCCACCATTCCAGGGCATTTGCCCATCAGGGGCAGTCTCCAGCCTGCCACCTCTGCCCACCCAGGGATCCCAGCAACACCAGAAATTTGGCCAAGCTGCATGGCTCCGGGGCACTATTCTATAGTAACCCACCAGAGTGATGTCCCACAGGAGGACAGAGTACAATGTGAATGCAGCCCCTGGAGTTGTACCCACAGCATCCCGGCACCCCCCGAGGCACTGCTGCCACATAATGCTTTCCTCACTCCCAGATGCCTAAAACTGCTCTGATAGGACCAAAGCCTTGGATTCCACGCCAAGAGAGAAGGCTTAGAAGGCAGATGCTCCCCACTGGACTCTGGGGGTCCCTCAGGCTGACATATACAGAGGCCTTACATTTACACTGTGGTCTTGCTAAGTAGCCAGGGGAAGATCCTTTCCTGAGGACAGATGTTCATGGGCCGCAGACAACACATAAAACCCGTCTGCAGGAAGTCTGTCCTTTCTGATAGTGGGACTTCTTAAACATGCCAAAAATTGTCTGTCTCAGAGGCCAGGAAAAGACAGGCCTGTGTTACTCTTGTCCCATCCCTGTGTCTCACACTCTCTCAGTGTCCTAGAAAGCTGTCCTTCTGTCTCACTTCAATCCTTCCTGCTGTAGCTGAAACCGGCTGTAACAGCCTCCAGATGCAGAGGCAGCGAGAAGGTAGAGTAGGAGATGAAGACGGGGCAGCTGGGGACAGGAGAGGTGGCCAGAAAGCCAAGGGAGACTGCTGAGGGGTGGGCCTGGAGGGCCCAGCACAGGGCTGGGCCAGGGAGCCGGGATGGGAGGGATGGAAGCACCAGGTTGGGGAGGCAGCTGTTACCAGCTCAGTTTCCAGAAGGATGCCTTTGAGGGAGGAGAGGAAAGTCTTGTCCACGGCGAAGCCCTGGAGCTCTGCGGCTGTCCCCTCCTCAGGGGGCCGGTCCCGGCGATCCCAAGCACTGAGCATCTCCGAGGGGCCCACTGGGCACTGGTCCCCACTTCCACCAGCTCAGGAAAGAAAATGGAAACCTGGCAGGATAGGGAAGCAGACAGGAGCGAGAAGGCACTTTGACAAACCTGAAAGTGAAACGGGAGGCCTGCCTGGGGGGCCCCAGGAGAAGGCTGCAGCTGGGGGAGGCTTGCCCAAATGGGCCTTCACCCAGCTGCCCAGAGTGCCTCTGCTGTCGCTTGCACCGGCCCCCTAGGAGGCACATGGGGAGGGGCGGAGGGGTAGGAGTGGTTAACCCCTCCCCTTACTCAGAGCCCAGCCCAGCCTGGAGAAGGGGAGAAGACCCGGGGAGAGAAGGAGGTCCAAAAAGAAGCTGGGAGGAGCTGGGAGGTGAGCCAAGAAACAAGGGCAGGGCTACGAGCCCCCCAGAGACCTACGCCTGAAGAAGTTTGCATCTCCCTCCCCTAACTTAACCTTTTTCCTTGGCCAGCCCTTTCTCCCTTTTCCTTTTAGGGAGGGTGGGAACTGGAGCCCAGCCCAGGCAGCACCCCCAGGACCAAGCTGCAGCAGCCAGGACCAGAGAACAAAGGCGAATTGTTGGGGGGACAAGGGGGCGCTGTGTGTCTGCTGCAGTGCCTCAATGGGTCTCTGTCTCTCCAGCATGCTGGAGTAGAGCCTGACCCCCACCCTGGTGTTCAGGGGTGGGCCAGGGAACCAGAGAGGGGAAAGGATGGGAGGGTGCTTTGGAATCTCTGGAGGGCAGAGAGAGCTGGCCGGGTGGGCAGGAGGTGAGGGCTGATGGTGGGAAGGAAAAGGGACCAGGCTGGGGGCCCACAAGATGTTCAGGTACCATGAATGCCAGAGACAAATTAGACTATTTTTAAATACAGATATTTATTTAGGTAAATCTCTCCATGTCCAATAACAGCTTCTTCCTCTGAATCATCTGTCAAAAGATGAGTAACTATACCAGGATGTGCACAAAGTAGATGTTTACTTAGAGTTTCATGAATGAATGAATGAATGAATAAACAAACAAATGAAATGAAGGCCTCTCCACTGGCAAAGGGGAAAATATCAAGAAAGTGCCTGTGCTGGGCCAGGGCAGCTGGAAATGGCAGGAGAGGAAGAGACAAGAGTGGTGGCTTCCAAAAATGGGCACAGTTTTGAAGACCTTTCCTGAAAGGAAATGCCAGGCCACTGGCTTACAGCAGCCATAAGTAGCAGCTGCTCCCTTCAAAAAGTGCTACCACAACCAGCCAAAAAAAAAAAAAGTGCTACCAAAAACCAAAAAGTGCAAAAGCACAGGTCCCACCCATTCCCCCCACCCCATCCTGTCCCAGGTTACTACTGCTGCAGGTTGCGCTTTGTAGGGCCAAGCATTCAGGTGTCCTGGCCCGCCGTGGCAAGTGGTTATACACCTGCCTCTGGTTTTCCCAACAAGGCACTAGTCCATCTCATCCATCACACGGGGCCGCACACACACACAAGCCAAGGAGACACGGTAGAACCTGTGCTCCAGGCAGTAGCCCTTGTGGGTCCCCCGCTCGCCAGGGCACGGTCGCCGGTAGAAGACAGTCTGGTTGTGGTAGAGCAGCTCCGAGTTTCCCAGGGGGTCCATGTGGGAGCCCGTCTGTAGGCTGACGCAGTGTGGGCACAGGCAGCGGGCGTGGTACAGGTCCTGGGGGAGCCGGTTCAAGTCCCTGTCCAACCTGTGGGGGTAGCACGTGTCAGGCCCTGGAGGGATGGGCCAGAAGCAGGGCAGGCGGGGTGGGGAAGGAACTCCAGAGGAAGGAAGTGGTGTGGGGAGGGAGGCCTGGCTGTGTCTCAGTTCTGGCACCCACTTGCTCTGTAACTTTGAATACGTCATTCCCCTCTCCTCTCTGGGATTTATTTCCCCCCACTGTACATGAGGGTAGGGGACAAAAGAGTGGCTTTCCAACAGGACTGGGACCCTGAGGGAGGCCAGGCAGGGTGAGCAGGCTCTTGCCTTAGCCTCCATCAGACCAGCTCTGCTTCCATCTGATATATATATGCTGGGTTCTAGTATAAGGTTTCTTGTAATTACTACTTTTTCGGTTATTTTTATTAGTAGTATCGCAAAAGTAAAAACTGCTCTGACTGCCAAGTTATAAAAGAGTATAAAGTGAAAATTAACAGTCTCTCCCTACCAGCCCAACACACCCTAGAGAGCCACTGTCAACTATTTCCAGCACATCTTTCTAGACTCTCTCCAAGTATATGTTATAAGCACACTTAAGAGCACATAGGAAAATTTCTTTGCTTATTCTGAAAGGATTTCATGGCCCAAAAAAGACTTTCAAACTACTGGAAAGTAGATGCTCCAAAGATCTGGCCTCCAGTAGCCTTGCAGGAAACAGCCCCTGAGTTGTAGGACCATCCCCCAAACAGACAAGCCCTGACAAACATGTTCAGCTAACACAGCATTTTCCAAGGTGAGTTCCCTAATAGATACCCTATAAGAAAACAGTTCTGTGGTCAAGACTTTGGGAAACGCTGAGTTCTTTAATGGTTTCTTTTCTGCAGACATTAATGTACAGCATGCATTATGAATCTCTAAGAAGTAGGGGCTGGAGCAGCTTTTCCCAAACTTCCTTGACATCACTTTTTTCCAACGAGCAGCTTGTGGTACAAGTGCTGCACAGAATACACTTTGGGAAAGCTAGCTGAGTGGTTGGCAGGGGTTCGCAGTCTCCCAATAAGAGTCTGGACCCCAGCTGCATCACCCAGCCTCCCTTAGGAGGCTCCTGTACCGTTGGATTTGGCCCAGGACCCAGCCAGCCTTCTGAGACTACTCCAAGGCATTATAAGCTGGAGTGTCCACCCCAGATCTAATTTCAAAGCAGACACCCACCCTACCCCATTGAACTTCTCCATCCATCCCAAAGCCAAGGCTAAGCCAGAACTAGACTTATAGGAAGTGGGAACAGAGACACCGGATAAAAACACAAAACAGAAGAAGAAATATATTTGGGATCCCTAAGGTCCTAATTTTTAAAATTTTGCTTCACTGTCCCCATTTCAGTGTTTCCTATTTTCCTATCATGACACAAATAGAGAATTATAATATTTGTGTGGCACACTGTGTGCAAGAATAAGATAACCAGCCAGGGCTCCAGCCACCCAGCTGCCCCAAGAGTTGAGGATTTCACTATCACAGTACACTTGTAACCCATTCATGGCCTGGGGCAGTAGCATTTGGATTGGAATGCTTTGTGCCTGTATCAGACCATTATTCTCTGATATTTTCATTAGAAAAACGTGGGCCGGGGCTAGCTGGTTAGTTCACTTGGGAGAGCATGGTGCTGATAACACCAAGGTCAAGGGTTCAGAACCCAGTACCAAACAGCTGCCAAAAAAAATGCAAAAAACAAACAAACAAAAACCATGGACCATTATAAGGATAAAAGGAAGGAGGAGAGAACCAACATAAGTACAGATTTATATACATTATCTCATTTGATCTGCACATTAGCCTATGGGGTATTGTATAATTTATAGATTAAAAAAAAAAAATACTGAGCCTTGGAAACTTGAGAAATTGGCCCAAGGTCACCCACTGAAAGTCAGAGCTAGGACTCAAATCCAGGCCTTATCTAGCTCCCAAATATTTCTGGCCTCTCTGAGATCAAAAAAAGAAGGTAGGCTGGAATGGGTGGAACTACTCTGTCCCCTCACACATACCCTGACCAGCACACATAGGCGAGCATGTGCAGGCATTTGGGAGGGGGGTGGCAGACTCACTCGTATCTCCAGGGGGAGATGGCCCTGCTGTTGAGGGGTCCATCTTTGCTGGCCCTGCAGGATTCTTGGTGGTAGGCAAAGCTAGCAGGCTCTGGGGGAGGCATGGACACAGTGTTCCACTCCAGCCACTCCTCACGGGGGTCCTGCCCTTTGCTGGGGCAGCAGCTGGGCCAGTGGCTGCAGTCCTTCTGGATCCGCAAACTGAGGGTATGAGTTCCCATGACCACTGTCAAGAATGTAACCACCTGTAGGAAAAGGCCAGAGAGAGAACTGCTCTTACCGAATCTAGGTCTCCTCCCCCAGCTGCTCCTTGAGATCCTGGTTTCTAGCTCCACCTGGCCCTCAGCACCAAACCTGGGTGCCTGCCATCCCTCCACGATCAACAGCATCTCTGCTCCCTTCCCTCTCAGCTCGGTCCACTGCCAGGCCTCTGCACTCACCTGGTTCATGCTGGATGCTGCTGGCTCGGCCACAGCTGCTGCACTGGCTGACAGGCCTGTGGAAGTGAGCTGACTGGAGCAGTTTAGGAGTCCTGGTTTTATTTTCAGCAAACCTGTTTTGTTTATTCAAATTTATTTCCACTATCTTTTGGAGGGAGTGACTTGAGATTAAAAAACAAAACCAAACCAAAAAAAACCCTGAAAGTATTTACAAAAGCTGCTTAAAATGCTATACTCATGGAAGTTGTGATGACCATCATTAAAAACCTGGTGGTTGATTGGGTAAATTTTGCTCTTTGCACTTTTCCGGGCGTGGGGTCAAAGCAATAGTGTTCTATCATTCTGTGTTCTTGTGAACTGGCATTATGGGATTTCCCTGGTTGGTTGGTACCCAAAATTAGGAAATGTCATCTGGCTTCTCTTCAAGAGGCCTCATTTCCACAACCTCTACTGCTCCCACCTAGGGTCTGTTCTCCACTATCCTCTTCTTTTCAGTTGTCCTGTTCACCCACCTTAGAGAACACTTCCCTTCCCCCCAATCTCCTTTGAACCCTATCCTCTTTGTTCTCTGACCTCTTCCCCATCTTCAATGACCCGAACTTCTATGACCCCTGTCATCTATGACTTCTACCCCGTTGTCCACTACCCACTTCCTAACTTCCCCTAGCCCTCTCCAGTCGCTGCCCCCAGCCCCAGCCCCATACTTCCCCTGACCTCCTCGTTGGAATAGGGATACAGGCCTAACCTCACAGGACTGCCAGGAAGGCCCTGAGCCCGTGAGTTTATTGGCTGGATGGAAGAAAGTCTGTGGTAAAGTCTGTGGGTGACTGTTCCCATTGCTCAAATGAGGAGGTGAAGCAAGGAAGAGGAGGGGCACAGTAACAACCTCAGCTAAGACCCAACAAGATGTCTCAGTTCCAGTGACCAACCTGCCCCACCCCACTCACAGGGCCTTGCTTGAGGACAAGATCCATGGCAGGAATAGATGCCATGCTCAGGCCATGAGGTAAGCCCAATCAGCCTCAGTACCCCAGCAACATGGGCCACTGTCAGCCAGGAGGGAGTATGTGTGCTCCAAAAAGGCTCGGAGCTGGGCCTGGCCGCAAAGACACAGGTCAGCCAGGGTCCAGCCTGCTTGGGAGGCACTGTACTGAGAGCAAGCCAGAGCTGACTTCCCTCCAGGCCTTTCTCTTCATCCTTGCCCGTGGACCTCCCCCACCTCATCCCCCACACCCACAACCCAGCACACTTATACACAGACATTGTCTCTAGAATGATGCTTCCTGATTTGCTCGTGCTTTCCCTTAGAAAATACTCCTCTAGTAACCAAAGACTCAGAAAATAAACAAAGGGAACTGGGAATAATTTAAACTGTAGAATAAGGGGGAACCTTTCAAATGCTTTAGGGCTAAGCATCCCCAAAAGAGAGGAGTAATGAAGTCAGAGGGCATTCTAGAGAATTGAGAGAAGCTGCTCTGGTGGGTACTGGGGGGCCTGGAACTGTGTGGGCTGAGGGGCACTTAGAAGAAACAGGAGAGCCTGGGGCACTTGGGAGGAACAATGAGGCCAGGGATACCATTGCCCACTCCCACTGCCCCGCCCTCTGCCCACTGTGCTCCCAGACATCCTCTCCCTTCCATATACTGCTGGCCTCAGCTCCTGTGCACCTACACGTGCCAGGCATGGTGCTAAGCCCTGGTCATGCACCATGTCATTTTATTCTTACAATAAAACCAGAAACTATTATCCCCATATTATAGATGAGGAAACAGAGACACAACAAAATCTGATAACCCATCCAAGGTCACATAGTTAGAAAAAGGCTGAGATAGTTTTCCACTCCAGCCCTGACCAACCCCAAATCTAATCTCCTGGCACGGAGGTGCCACACTGTGCCAATACCCCCTTGGCTGTGGATAGAAGGGGAACCCCCACAGTGAATGCTTTCCTATTAACCTGGGCTTGGGCTGGGACAGGTCTCATCTGCATCTGCTTGAAGCCATAGAGCATTCCTGCCCACTTAGGCATTCAGCCCTGCTGGCTGGGATCTACTGCTCCAGCTTTCTGTTCCCCAGCCTTTGGTCTGGCACATGACCTCAGGGTGGCTTCAGGTGTTCCTGAGCAAGCCCTAACCCCAGAACAAGCTCTCCAAGGGCAATGCTGTTTCAGAAGAGCTGGATTTCTACGGATCTCCCCCAGACCAAGGAGGCCCACCTCAAGGCAGAAGGAGCAGAACTAGAGCCTGACTTTGGCTCAGATCTCCTGATCTTAGCCCGTGTCCAAAGGGGGTGCTCAAAGGAGCTGGAAATTATCCCAGCTACTTGTTTTACTTGTTAACACTGCAGAAAGGACCCAGCCTGGGTTAATGGGGTCATAGCCCTTCACGAGAGGTCTTTGGGGTGTCTCCTGACTCTGTATCTCAGAGGAAACCTCTGAAAGCCAGAGGGAGGGTCCCTCCTAGCTCTCGTCTCCCCTGGGATTGGCTCTTCCCACCCTGCGATGGCCCAGGAGCCTGTGCTCCAAGCCACATGTCCCTACCCCACCCCGTTTGCTCAGCCTCTGCCCTTATCTCAGTGGCAGCTTGTAGGACTCCTTAGGGTGACTCCCTGCCATGAGAAACATTTTCCAGAGGATTTTCCACTTGGGGTGACTACCTTTGGAATCCCTGAGTCATTTCAGCTTCCACAGAATCCTCGGGGGTGTAGGGATATGAGGGTGGCAATGGCGAGAATGCTGGAGGTGGGAGCAAAGGAAAGTTCTCCCAGCACCTGACATCAGGGGTACCCTGCCAACATGTCCCCACCTGCCCAGGCCTGACCTGACAGCCAAAGAGGGCTTGCTGGGATTCCTACCTTTATGCCCCTGGGAAAAGAGATTAGTGCCTACCAGGAAAGGGCAGGGAAGCTGTGATGGAACACATTTCCCACCCATGGCTTGGAAAGGCTCTTGGGACTTGCAGAAAGTTAGAATATGGCTGTCCTGACCTTTTTCAGAAAGATATTCAAGTCCTCACCTGCTACCCTGAAGTCTTGGCCCTGCCTCTAACCAGCTCTTGACCATGGGCCCTCTGTCTGCTCCTCCCACCTCATTTGTAGAAGTGTGTGTGTTTGGGTTGGGGGGAACGTTGATCTGGATAGCCACAAAGGTGACAACCAGCTTAGCTATTCTGAACCTTAGCTCTTAGGATACTGAGGAATCCACAGGACTCTACTGAAGCTGATCTGCACTCACCTTATGTGAGGTTGGGACACTGGCTGTAAATACATTGAAATACTTCTGCACCTGCTGATAAGTAGATGCTGCCCTCAGCCTTGGGGCACCCCATCACCACCACCACCACCATCTCCCTATGATCTAGCAACTAAAGGGTGAACATCTGGTACAGATGGAGACCTCTGGAACATCACGTCCATGTTCTGATTGGTAGGTGATAATGATACTAGTTGTTAATTATTTTTATATCACCTTTAGCTACAAAAATGCTTAGACTCGGGAGCAGACACTTGGAGAATAAGAGTTAGCAGGACAAAGAGCCCAATAATCCCCTGCCCCCAGCCCAGGGCTGGTGCCTCCCCAAGGAGGACCCTCAGCTTAGTCAGCTTTGTCCTGCACTCATGGCTGCTCTAGCTCATTCATCCATTCACCAAATATTTATTGAGCACCTTCTAGACACCAGGCACTAGTTAAAATGCTAGGAATGCAGAGGAGGACAAGACAGATAAGGTCCCTGCCTCATGAAGCTTATGTTCTAGGAGAAGACAGTTGATAAACAAGGAAACAAGATAATTTCTGATAATAGTAAGTGCTATAAAGAAAATGAAACAGTGTTATGAGATGGGGAGTTACAGTGGTCAGGGGACTGAGGAAGGGGGGATGGCGGAAGGACAACTTTAACTTGGAAAGCCAGGGAGGGCCTTTCTGAGTATGCAGTATTTGGCATAATGATGGAAAGGGTTTGGGTGAAGAGTGGTCTAAGCAGAGGGAGAAGGACATGCAGGGTCCTAGAGAAACATAAAGGACAGTGTGGATGGAGAACACGGTGTAAGGGTGATGGTGGGAGGAGATGAGGTAGAAGAGGTAGGCAGGGACCAAAGCACATAGGGTCATACAGGCTATGGTGGAGCATTTCGATTTTATTCCAAGGTCAGTGGGCAGGTATTGACTGGATTCAAGCATGATCTAGGTGATATGAGTCTCTCAAGGGCAGGCACCATGTCTTTGACATTCTGGTGTGCCCATATGGCTTGCACCAAATAACAGTAATAGTTGTTTTTGTCCAACATTTACACATCATGGGCCAGACACTGTTCTCAGGATTCTTAAGCCTCACAAACAGCTGATGCTATAGGTTCCCATTATTACCTCCAATTTACAGACAAGGACCCAGAGCCTCCAAGAGGTTACATAGCTTGCCAAGGTCACTAGCTAGTGTGGGAACCAGGATTAGGACCCAGGTGCTGTGAATCTGGGTGCTGTGAATCTAAAGAAAGGAGGACTAGGAGAATTAGTGAGCTCCCAAGAAGTTTTGGGTAGCAGGAGGAACAAGAAGATGTCCAGGAAGTCTCGGAGTGGGGTGAGGAAGAGACCAGCTGGTTGGACCCTGTGGGGAAGGGGAAAGAGTGGGAGAGAAAACTGGGACTCGGGATGCCAGATGGAGGGGTTCCCTCCTTTCTGCTCCTTGAGTATGGGAAAGGCAAACCTTGAGGAGCTGCAGGCAGGTGTATTGTGTGGGTGGTGAGGCTGCTGCTCACCCAGGGTCTCAGCTACCAGCCCAGCTTGAGTTTTTTCCAACCATACCAGAGTCTAGAGCTCTACCTGAACAAGTCAGAATTTCCTTAAACATCTGTTTTAGGAGGAGAGGACAGAGATAAGGTATAAGGATAAGGGAAAGGATCCTCCTGCCCTCAACAAAGAAACACTTTCAGCTTTCATGAAAGCACAAGCTATAGGGGAGCCAAGATAAAGAGGGAAAACCATGGAAGAAGAGCACTTTGCTAGGTACTTTACATATATTTACCCCTCCCCAAAGTCACTCTTCCAGATGAGAAACTGAGACTCAGAGATGTTGACTAAGGTCACACAGCTAATAAACCAGGATCCTCTCCCTAGTCTGACTGGTTCCATTCCATGCCTGGGCATTCCAGAAGCACAGTCTTATTTTCCTGCTGATTTGCAGTCTGCTGTCCCTCACCTACATTTTCCCGGCACTGAGCTACAGGTCACAAGACCCACTGCCCTTCTCTCAAGACACCATCTTGCCTGTCCTAGCAGCTTCTTTCCTGCTTAACCTTTTCTGGCCACCATCTATTTCCCCTTGTGCCATTCAGAACTTTCATCTTTGGGGACAGGGTTCCTGCCCATCTTCACCTTGGGCCCCAATTTGCCTTGGCAGCCTCCTGAGCAGAGATCAAACCCAATCACTCCCCAGCAGCTGAATGTCTGTGTTAGGCGGCCAGGCCCCCCAGGGCTGGCGTCTGGAGGAGGGTGGAAATTTTTCTCTAGTGGCCACCACCAGCCAGACTGGAGCTGGGGTGGAGAGATCTCCCTTCAGATGTATCTGGAAACTTAAAAGTTCCTCTACCATCCAAATGGAGTCTGAGTCTGTTCGGGATTCCCAGCCCCACACCCAGATCTGTACTCTGTCACTGAGAGCCAAGCCCAGAACTATGCTCACCCCAGAAACTCTCCCTAATCCACTCCACAGGCTCCACCCCTCCGGCCTGCAGAGGGTTCTTCAAAGGTGCCCAGGCAATACGGTGGGGAAGGAGCTGGAGCAGGTACCCCCCTCCCAGTATCCTGGGAAATGCCTGGATGTGCCAAGGAGCTGGAGCAGGTACCCCCCTCCCAGTATCCTGGGAAATGCCTGGATGTGCCGACCTGTGGAGCTGGGGGCAGGGGGGAGGTA